TGATCGAGATTCGTGAAATGATGGACACAGCCCGATGTCGAGGAAATGGCTGGCGCCGACGAGGCCTCGATGCCAGGACAAAAAAGCCACCGTGAAGCCGTGGCAAAGTATAAATAGAAGGCTTGACTGGTTCGAGGGAAGAAATGTCGCCAGCACCCGTCTGAATGTATCCTGCGATCGATCGGGGGACGGATGGCACGAGCGCTTCGAAAATGCGCGACATGGGAAAAGGCTGCGCCCGTGGTGGTGTTGGCCAACATTCGGGGGGGACGTACAGTAAGAGGGTGCCGAGCTTATCTGGGATCTGGAAAGGGAGGAGACAAGGCGAAGGACGGCATGAAACGATGATTCCTGAAGGAAGCAGCTGTGAGTACCTTACCTTAGGTAGGTAGTAGGAGAAGACCGGTGTGATTGTGCCGCTATGAGGCCAGTCATCTGCATCATCGATCGCGGACGCCTGCTCCTGGTAATGCTCCTACATGTACCCTCTCATGCTCTCTCCTGCGTTTTGGCCGCGCTGGAAGCCACCACGCCCTATCGGAGACAGAGCAGAGAGAGAGAGCGCCTGGTGCCTTGCCCCTTGGCTGTTGTGACTATTGATGCCCCATTTCGCATGTCAATGGGGAGGACTAGGCCGCTTCCACGAGATCAAGAGCCCGGAGAATGCATCTTCGCGGTATTGTGGGCAAAAGGTTAGGGGACCGGCCGACAAGTGCATGGCACCAGGCGACGGGTGACCCGAGAAGTACCAGGCCACAAGTGACGGGTGGGTGAGCAGAGTTGTCTGTCCCATTCTAGCTGGGCTAGACCGCCCGATGAAGCTGCAGGGGCGTATTTTGCTCCCTCCCCTCCCCCATGGCAGGGAGCCAGGGGAGGTGACCACTGCACCCGAGAGTGGCCGCCGTTTCCGCTTGCCATTTTCTGCCCAGTGCCCGCGTCGCAGGCCATCGGGGGGCAGATTCACGCGAAAGTGGGTGACGCGGTGGTCCGGGCGCCCTCCGAACTCACACCTTGTTCATTTCGCGCATGGGGCCGGATGAGTAGGTTCCCACTGGCTGGGGGGTGACTGACTGACGGTTGCTTCCAGGTCGGCCGGACCGGTCTGTGGTCAGGTATCTGGCGCATTGCTTTTTGTCGCCGGGTTGGTCGAGTCCCCCCCCCCCTATAGGCGTTCGAGTTTTGATGAGAGGGAGGAGAAGGTCCGTCGGCGATGGCAAGCAGATGACGGTGAGGCGCCAAGAAGAAAGTGGAGGATCGAAGACAATACAATGGTGGACGGAAGGGGAATCCACGCTCGGTCGGCGCGGCGGATTCCACGGAGGTTCGGTTGGTTGCCTGGGGCTGGGGGTGTCGAGCCCCCCCCCGATCCGCGACGCGAAGCAATGCCCAATTCATCGGAGGCTTTTCGTGTGATGGGGTGGGCTGGTTTGGGCCGTTGACTCTCGTCGGTAGATAAAACCAGGCAGAACGAGACTCAGGCCCAGGCCAGCTATTCGGTGTATTGTCATGACCGGCCAGTCCTTAGGCAGCAGGCCAGGCAGATGAGGTGTTGGAAGGTGCGCCGGCCTCGACGGGTTGGTGCAGAGGCGAGCCAAAGTAAGGACAAGCGAAACAAGACAACCCGCGGCAAAGAGAAGGCGAAAGCGACGGGCAATACACCAACATCGACAGGTATATGAGGAGCAGACAGTTGACTGACGAGGCCTCCGAAAATAGATGCACAGGTTGGCAGTGGCAGTAGCAGGCAGCCAGACAGATAGGCAGGCAGGCACAAGCACGAGCACGGGCACGGAGCAAGGGCAAACGCGCAAGCTGGCAGGTGCTCTTTCCCCTCCTCCCTCTCTCTCTCGCGTCAGTGGCTCAGGCGATGGTCTCTGAGCAGGAGCCATGGCAGAGGAGAAGCAGGAGCCACGGCAGAGGAAGCAGGAGCCACGACAGAGGAAGCAGGCAGAGCAGAAAGAGGCAAGCAAAGCACGAGACGAGACATGTCAGGCAAGGCAAGGTAAGGCAAGGCAGGCAGAGCCGGCACCGCAGCCGATCCGCCCGTGCCTTCCCAAAAAGCTGGGCTGTTCCAGAGCTCCACCTTTCTCCCCTAGCGCCCAGAAGGTCCGCCCGACCGTGTCGCCCTCAGGCCCCCTCCCCGCCTGCCACCCGCCTGCCGCCCTCCCACAAGTTTTTTCTCTCGCTGCCCCCGGCCCCCGCGTCCCTTTTTTCCCTTTCCCTCCCTCCCTCCTTCCCACTCCCGTCCGGCCTGGCCACCCCCCCCTTCGCCCCCCCTTCCCCCCGTTCATCGACCTGCTCGAGCACCAAAACATCACCAACTTGGTCTTCCGAAAGCCTCCCGGTTTTCGACAGCAGAGAAGCGCCGCCGCCCCCGAAGCGATAATTGCCCTCGACCCTGCTCATCAGTCGCTGATTCTCGGCTTTTGGCTTCTTGCTCGCTAGTAGGCCATCCAGCACAGCAAGCACCGGACCCTTCCGGGCCCTCATCCGGCCCACGGGCGCACCTTCCTCCATCGCTCAGCTTGGTACTCCCCCAACTCTTTCTTCCTCCACCTCAGCTCACCTCACCTCACCTCAACTCAACACACTTCACCTCATCGTCGCCATCGTCGCCATCCTCGAGACCACGTCGATCGGGTCCTCGCTCTCCTCTTTTGCATTTTCTTCGTTTCCACCGCACATCGCAGCCATGTCCTCCGGCGTGGTCCGCTCCACCGCCCTCAGGGCCGGCGGCGCCTGTGTGCGATGCCGCAAGGGCAAGACCAAGTGCGTCTACGAGAACGGTCGCGCTCCTTGCAAAAACTGCGCCAAGGGCATGCACGAATGCTATCTGCCATCCGAGTCGATGGGCGGTGCGTCGCCGGCTCGACACGCCTCGCATCGTCCCGCCAGAGAGAGTCTGCCTGCTGTGGGCGCCTCAAACCCCGACACGCGTGTCGCGAATCCGGCCGCCGTTACCTCGCGTCACGGCGGTCAGGCCATTATCGCAGAGAAGTGAGTCTCTACCTTTTTGTTTCCCCTTCTCTTTTCCCTCTGCATCGACAATGCAATGGTCCGTTGCCTGCGCCTACGAAACATCAAGCCGTCATTCTTCCCCCCCCATCTCGCGCTCTCGTTGGGGCTTCTTGTCCCTTGTGCTCCGTCATTCCCTCAAGACCGCCGCCCCCCGGGCTTGGCGACCCTAACCACCAATCTCACTGGCTCACCTTTCTCCCTTCCCAACGCCCTCCCCCCACCCGGTCATCTGCCCATCTCCCATGGCCCCACTCGGGGACTCATCGGCCCGCCTTCATCTCATCCTCAACTCGTCCCGTGCCAAGGCTAACCCCAACCCCTTCCAACAGGCTCACGCCCGAACTCGTCCAGGAATGCGATCGTGTCATCTCCAAGACATATCCCGCCTGTGTCGTTTTCCACAAGCCGACCTTCCTCGGTCAGCTGAAGACCTCGTCTATGGACCCGGCCCTTGTCTACGCTCTTCTCACCTGTGCCGCTCGGTAAGTTCTCCGTCATGCGTGTTTCCACCTTGATACCAAGTTGGATCGGCACGGCCAGCTCCAGTGCCGGCTCGGGCGTCTCTCGACGACCGGGGGAGAGACGACGGGGGGGGGAGGGGTTCTAACCACCCTCTGGCCCTCTCGATTCTTGTCCCCTCGGTTCTTGGCCCTCGGACTCACTTGACGCAAGCCTGCTAATGCCGACGTAGGAGCTCACCCACGCTGATCCGTCGATATGGCGCCCAGTCGGGCGGTGGTGCCACGGGCGCCGCAGAGCACTTTGCCGCCAAGGCCATGTCCATGATCAACCACAACCTCGATGCTCCATCCCTGGCTGATATTCAGGCCATCTGCCTCGTCATTATTCACGAGTGGGGCTCGAGAAACGCTGTCCGTGCCTACATCTACCTTGGTCAAGCTACGCGCATGGTCCAGATGTATCGTGTCATTCATAGCCACCACGCCGACCCCGGAACCACCGAGCGCTTCCTCGAGGACGAGTCCTTCCGTCGCGTCATCTGGCTGCTCTACATCCTCGACTGCCTCTTGACGAGCCATCCTGGTCGCCAGCCCGCTCTGTCGGGTGCCGACACCATCGACGTCTCACTGCCATGCACTGACATGAACTTTGCCTTTGGCAACGCCGTCTACGTCCAGACTCTGAGCCTGACCGATCCCCCTCGCCTGCCTCCCGGCGCTCATGTCGACAACATTGGTGAATTTGGTCACATCGTCATGGCCACACGAATCTGGCGCGACGTCATCCAGATGCTGATGAGCACGTCGACCGAGACGTTCAGCGACGCCACGTGCAGCCAGATTATGGGCGCCATTGACGACCTGCGCCGCTCCCTGCCCATGCAGTATGCCGACAAGCCCGGCCAGGTTAATCTTCACATCACCATGGGATCTGGTTTCACGTACGCCATGCTGCACTGCATGCTGCACTGCTCCTCCATCTTCATCAACCGCCGTCGCCTGTTGCAATATGTGACGGCTCACGATTTCAACATTGAGACGTGGCGCGTAACGCCGCAGTGCCACGAGCTCATCGATCGCCTCTTCACGTCGTGCCACAGCACCATCGCCATGCTGACGGCTCTCGAGACGGGCTTCGAGAAGGAGGCCAACCTGTGCTTCCCCATTGTCATGCTCTTCTCCGCCTTCACCGCCAGCGCCACCGTCGCTTACCTCTCCCTCAAAGCCTTGACGCCCCCCAACGCCGTCGAGACGGCCGCCCACATCGTCCGTGACGGCCTCCGGTTCATGCAAGACGGTGTCGAGACATGGCCTCTGATCGCATCGTGGCTGCGTCACCTGACAGTCATGCACCGCGTGCTGGCCAACGACGGTTCTGCTCCGATGCCCCAGGGTGGCCCCGATCACCCGATGGTCTCGATTAAGGACGAGGCCGCATCGAACCCCTGACTCGAGCAGCCACGCCGATGCCATGGACTACGACCAGGTCTCCTCCACGGTCCCGCCCACAGCGCGCACAACCATGCCGGAAGCGTCAGCGAGAGCGGAAGGGATAGCGAACCCCCAGTGCCGCTGCCCCGCCGGCCCGGTGTCACGACCATCAATGGCGGCTCTGGAAGCATCGCTGGAACGCCTGCTACCACCAACAGCCCACCGCCGGCGCCGGCGTCGGAGCCCAAGCGCTCGCCATCGGCGGTGCCCGCGCCTCCGAGCAACGGCAATGGAGCCCACGAGACCGAGCGTCCCTCCAACGCTGTGCCGCAAGACATGACGGCTGTTGAGCTCTGCTCGGCCTTTGAGCGCCAGCTCCTGGAACTGGACGATCTCGCTGCCTTTATGGGTGGGGGTGTATGAGGTCATTCAATCTTCTTCTTTTTTTTCTTTGTTTCAACGTTGTCTTACATGATCACATGGGTATTAGGATGGAGATGGGCCGTGACCAGGGGGGTTGAGTGTGCTAGGTTGGGAATGTGGGAAGCGTAATTGTATCGGCGCCTGGAGTCACATGGTCGTTAGGTAGCTAGGAGGCGTTGCCGACATATCGCCGCATGCATATACCCCGTTCACAATTGCGTGTCGTTCTTCGTTCGTGATGTCTGTGGGACACGAGAACTTGGAGACCTGGTCACTGTGACAAGGTTGGGCAAGGTGCTGCCTTTCTGCTGTTGAAAATGCCTCGCGGTGTTCCCAGTCCCTTGTTGCTGACGTGGCTGGTACAGGATCATTTTGAATGTATGGTCCATTGCCATGTCATAAGGTCGCCACATCTCGATAAGCCGATGAATCAAGGCGTCAGAGTCGTCTGCCCGAGGCTTGATGGCGTTTGCACTTGAAAGGGGCCATCTTGTACATGCAGTCTGGGTTGTTGCAGCCTGCTATCGTTCTTGCGACGATAGAGCCCGTTTCTTTACTTACCAAGTCACGTCTGTCGATTCAAGCACACACTCGGACATCTCTGTGCTCGGCAGGCGATCTACGGGCCGACGTGTCATCAGGGATACGGGGCCGGTCTCCACCTTCCCCGGTAGCGTGGCCGCGCCGCAGATGGGGGACGAAGGCGACGGCAGCGGCGAGGACGGACCGGGCAGAGCACGCGAGATATGCTGCCCTTCGTCCGGCGATCTCATCTCTTTGGTTTGATCGTGACGTGACGATGACGGGCGCTGGGTCTTGTGGAACCCGAAGCACAGCGCCGCGTCGGCTGCGTCCGTATTGCTTTGCCCTGAAGGTTAGATGAATGTACTCCTGATGATGTACTCCTGCTTCCAGGCAACACTGTATGATGCGACGCGTGTGGGACATTTTGTCTCCATCTTTCTCTGCCTGCTGGGCGATCGATTGTTTTGCGTATCCCCTGCGCACGCGCATGGTCAAACGCGTTAGGGACGGGGGGTCTTGACGATGTAGATCGCGATTCGGCACGATCAAGCTTTTTCTCTTTGGAGGAGGTTACGGATGCTGGATGTTGATCGCGGCCAAGCTCCATGGAACGGATGGCAGGTATTGACAAGGGGACGTTCGTGGTGTTTGTAGCTGCGGTACGGGAGCGAGCAAGCAGAACGCGCACGCTTCCACGCGATGCAGCGGTCACTCCATAGTCGGAGACGTCGACTACTGCTTTCGCGAGTAAGAAGGCACATTTAGATTCAGGCAAAGCTTGTGCTGGATCGCCCAAGGAAGGCCACAACCACCTGGGAAGATCGCAGTGGAATGTCATCTCGAGCTCTGCGACAGAAGGCCACAGCCGTGAAATGGCAACGTAGACAACCCCGGCGACGCGCAAAAGATGATAAAGACCCCCTTTTGGGAAATTAGGGGGGTGGAGTGAGAGGTGTCATGATCATCACAGTCAGATTGCAAGTTGATCTCTGAGGGCGGGCCTCGAGGGTGGAGGCGACCTAGAGCCAAGACGGCATGTCTCGTTTGCCAAGGCTCCGCGACACTGTCCTGGCGGTGTTTGCTGGGTCCCAAGATGGATGGAGCGTCCATCCGGGAGCACGGAAATGGGCAGAGACACTGTGTGCGTCCTGAACATGGGAGAAAAGGAGGGTTTTGGGGCATGATTGGAGGTGCTTGATTGGGCGATAAGAGGGAATTCTCGGATCGCTGGCGATTGGTCGAGGGTGAATGTGGTATCTTTCTTGGTATCTCTCGGTATCTGGGCGCTGCTCTCGATATCTTGGCTGTGCTTGGATATAGCCGGGTGAGTAGGCAGAGAGGTTCGAAACATCTCCATGGTATGCATGTCCCTCACGCAGTCCGCCCGTTTGCGGTGACTGAATGCCTCAAACTCAAAACCCTCACAACTACTAGACATCACGAAGTGCCTGACACCAATGCCCCACGTGCGGGACCCTCTGACGCTGCCGAACACGCGGCGTGGCGTGCTTCCTCCGCAAGCCCAGGGCAATGCCGAGCCTCCCCCAGTACAACGAGCAAAGATTTCGAGCCCAGGCTGGCCCCCTGTCGCTTCACCTGATATCGCGACAAGGATCGAGGTACCCCGACGGGCACGGTGCGCGGGATACAGAGATAGCATTATTCCCCAGTAGGCAGCCCCCTGGCCCGGCTTCCAATATGCAGTGGGGGGGAAATGCGATGCGGCGGCGCTGTGCAGGGGATGTACAGGGGGCTTTCGCTTGGTAAGGGAAAAGGAGCATTGGAGCACGTTGTGGTGTTGGAGCCATCATGCTGACCTCACCTCATCACGCCCAAGCCGGCCATCGAGTGTGTTTGGAGGCCCAACTCGGCGTCGAGGGGCGAGAATGAGATTCTGAGGTGGCGTTAAGACGGGAGACTGTCAACGTGTCACCGTGTCTTTGGTGTCGACAGCAGAGGCACGTGTTCTGTGTGTTGCCGCAGAAGAACGAGTACCATGTCCCGCGCCATGTGAACCCGCTGAGATGAGTACCGACGGGAAGCCATCGCAAACCGTCAACGGCCCTGCGAGATGGATGTCCACTCCCATGAAAATGTGGATCGCTGTTGGACAGGGTACCATTACATCGTTAGACAGGGTGAGGCCATACAGAAATAAAGATGTGGAAACACAGAACAAGCAACAGATTGAAACACTGCGACAGTTGGGGAGACACAGATCTCTTTCTTTTCTCCTTTCTTTCCCTCGCCGCTAGCCCCCGGTACGGTGACGAAACAACATCTTCTCGTAGCCCGGCTGGCTGACCGTCATCTTGGCCCCCCGCCGGCCAAGGACCAACAGACCCAGAAGACGAAGCGGATACGGCGGGCCTCAACCAAGAAGAACGGCGACCGTTGTTTTCAAAGCAAGCTACCTTGCCCTTCTTAGCTCATGATCCACGATTAGTGTCACTGCTTTTCTGGTACTGTGCAGGGTACCTGGTCCGAATCAACGTCAGGAGTTACATGTAGAAGTTCCCATGGATCCGCCCCCTGGCCCTTATCAGTCTGCTGGTCCTCCACAGCATCCGCCCGCGTACATCGTTCTCTGAGCGCCCGCCTTGGTTCATCTCGTCTTATCTGTTTGCTTCTTGTCTTCTTGGCCTGCCTCGTCTCTTTTTTTTCTTCTTTCTCTCTCTCTTCTCTAGATTCGTGTCACTTGGTCGTCAATCACATCGTCAACAGAGAAGAGGCAGAGTCCACATCGTTGACCCCGCCGTTTCCCAAGGCTGCCTTTCTGGCTCGCCATCCGCTCTCTTATCACCAGATTCTCCATAGGCGCCTCACCTCAGGAGCATGTCCATCATGTCGAAGCTCAATCTCAACACAGCCGCGGTTGAGTCTTACCTCGGAAACCGCCGCATCCAGAAGATTGTCACCATCGTTTTCGCCGTTGGCCTGACCGCCGTGTTTGGTCTTTTCCTCAGCCTGCACGGCGCACCTTCGACAGCCCGCATCAAAGAGATTGCAAAGAACATCAATGAGAAGGCGCATGGCGGGCACAAGGGCCCACGCATCGCCGCATGCCATGCCGACGACAACAGCGACACGCTGAACCACACGCTAGCCGACGCTTTTTTAAATGCTACGGATGTCAAGTACGCCCACCTGCGGGACGATAGATTCACGTATGTCTGCCCTCCTGTGAGATACCCAGGAACCCATGTATCTAACTCCCACCAGCATCGCCATGCAGACGTACCGTCGCCCCAAGGAGCTCAACGAGACCCTCCACGTGCTCCTCAAGGATCACATCCCCTCGCTCCACGAAATCGTCATCATCTGGAACAACCTCGACCAGGCGCCGCCGCAGAACTACACGTCGGCGCACGGGGTGCCCGTCCGCTACCGCGCCTCGCCGCGCAACTCGCTCAACCAGAAGCTCCTCCCAGACCCCTCGTTCGCGACGCAGGCCGTGCTCCTCTCCGACGACGACGTCTACTACCACCCGCGCGACCTCGAGTTCGCCTTCCAAGCCTGGCGGCGCTTCGGCCGCCGCCGCCTCACCGGCGCCATGGCGCGCTGCACCGGCGTCGGCAAGAACGGCGAGTGGCAGTACCGCATGTGCGCGCGCGGCGCCGACGCCTACAGCATGATCATCACGAACCTGGCCTTCGTGCACGTCGCCTTCCTCGAGTACTACTCGTCCGACGACCCCACCATGGCCATGATCCGCGAGCACGTCGACGACAACCTCAACTGCGAGGACATAGCCATGAACTACGTCACCCAGATGCTGACGCGCGAGCCGCCGCTGCTCGTCAGGGGCCACCAGGCCTTTTTCAACGCCGAGCCCGCCCAGGGCATCAGCAAGGCGCCCGGCCACTTTGCCGCGCGCAGCCTGTGCATCAACAAGTTTGCCGAGGCCTTTGGCTGCATGGCGTTGCTGGAGGAGACGGTGCGCATCGAGATTGGGCCGTAGTGTGTGCCTCTGCCAGGGCGCCTGGAGGTGCTGTATGATGTACGAAATCTTTTTGATTGCCTGGAACTTCTGCTGCTTACGGTCGAGAAGGATGGCTAGCATGGGGCGTTGGGGGCGTTGGGGGCGTTTTTCTGCCGGGGAGACCTCCGGGTGGCAATGGTGTGTGATTCATCCGTGGTGTATATTATATCGGTTGCTTCTGTACTACAATATTTACGTCTCGTGTAGTCTGCCAAGTTTGAATCAGTCTTGCCTCGTCGTATTCATCGTGTATAAAGTACGACAAAGTAACCACCCCACGCCAGCTATGAACGGTCTAATACCAGGCATGGCAGGTGGTAGGGGCTCGCATCAGTGTCGATGCAGAATGGCTGGTTAGGCGTCGCATCTCATTAACTGCCTGATAATGAATCTAACTGAGTTGATCGTCATGAGAGATGCCGCGTCACTGCTGAGTTGTATGAACAGCCGGCATGATAAGTTTTGCCTCGGAATGCTGGCGTCATCTGCTCGGCGACATAGAAGTAGCAGTCTTCCGTCAGTCATCCACCCAGGCGCCTGGCATCGGGAGAGGCATCTCATCAATCATCTCCCAAAAGTCGCAAGCAAGCTCTTCGATATCCATGTCCCATATCAGGTTCCAGTCCTCCGGCCGCGGCCCGTATCGAAGCTCGAGTAGCTTTGGCTCCGTGGCCGTCGAAAGCACGATCCATTCGAAGCTATTCTGAGACAAATTGTCCGAAATGTGAGATTCCCACCGAGTACCAAGTTGCCCTGATTCTTTCAACAGTTGGTTCTCTCGGAAACCATACTGGCACAAATTGAAGCCTAGCTCGTCTAGTAGTCCGGCCCAATCTTGAGCCCGGGTCCTCATCTCAGATAACTGGCGGTCATATCTCCCTTTCCGGGACGAATCGCGAACATGGGGTGCATGACTCGAAAAGAAATAACTTCCTCGAAGAAAAATTACAAATGAAGTTTCCATCACGTTCAACTCAATACCTACCCAATCGTGAATGAAAGCCCTGTCGCTATAGGTCCTGATCCTGCATTTATGTTATTTCCGAGGAGATGGACGTCATCACTGGCCTGAATCGTCTCGGACACCAGCTTTCGAGCCTCTCACAGCAGCATCTGTCGCCATGGAAGTCATACCGTACCAAAGAGATACACCGTGAAGGAACGACCCTCGTCTCTCAATCGACGAACGCACATCGACTGCTTTGATCCTCTCGTTATCAGGTCCGAGGCGAAGTACGAGCCTCATATGGTTGGCGTGGAAACTGCTCATGGCTTCATAAACAGGTTGTAATCGCCTGGGCAGACTTTGACCATCATCCATCGTGTGACTAAACTTCATCCCCACGGAAACCATGTCGTACAATCGTAGCTGACATGGGTTCTTTAGGAACCGGCACAGGTGGTACTGCGTGGCGAAGTGGTCAATGTCCCACACATCGACAGCGTCAAGAAATCGGTTTACCCTCACAATCTGATCCAGCATTTCCGGGTCGTACCAACGGAACAAGGAACCATCGATCAATTGCACGGCGGACAGACCATGCCCGTCCTGGGCGTATGCATCAACCCCCATAGTGAGAAGCGCCTTGAATACCTCAAAGGTACTTCCCATTGCTGCCATCTTGATTAAACAGTTAGTGAAACCATTATCTTAATTCATTGGTTATGTTGTAACGGACATGTAAAAGATTGAAGCCGTCTTGCGTGCGATCAAACGGTAAAGCAATGCCCTTGTTGAACATTTCTCGCAGAAGTTCGAGTTCGCCTTCCAAGGCGTACTGGAACACACTCGATACCGGCCGTATGTTCCATACCTGCAGATTAGTCCGCCAGCCAGCGGCTGATTTTACCACCTGGTAATCCCATGCTCTACCGAACAGCCATCTGGGCAGCTGAACGTGGATAGCGTAGCCTGATCATAATTGTCAGATATTGCTTCCGGATCGTAGGCTGCGGTATAATACGCACGTCTGCGACGCGTCGACTGGTAGACATCGTCGCCGTCGCCGTCGCCCTCGTCGTCCAGCGTCTCGTAACAGAAGCGCCCGAACAGGTCAGCCATAGGAAATGATCGGGGTTTCCAGATTGACAAAGATTGGTTCCTTGACATTAAGTCGGGGTCAGCCTTCGGAGGTATAGAGGTTCCATTCCGAGCGGCGCCAGCTGATTCTGTTGAGACATGTGCATTCGTATATCCCTGTGTGAGGAGCATGTTCGTCTTGTTGGACGCTCTGATGCCTGCCTTCGATAGTTCTCTGTATCTCACTTCAGGACGCCATGCTTGCTAATAGTCACTTAGAGGCACTCACTGTGTGCAGAACGACTGTGCTGCGATCAGGATAAGGATGGCGTCTCGCATTCGCTGCTCATACTGCGCCAGGGTGCTCTTGCTGAGGACAACCATGAGCTTTGCCTTGGTCCTTCTGGAGAAACCCCTCGCAGCGGCCACATCGACTGTCAAATCATCGACAAGTCGCGTAAACTGGTTTAATATCTGGCGACAGTAGTGCGTGCTCTTCTTCAGCATCTCATCGTTGGCGGAGGGGAGAAACAAAGTCTCGCCATTGCAGGTCCTCGAGAAACGCCTAGCTACACGTCGGGTGCACCTGTCGTGGAACGCAGCCCTTTCAGAGACCACGTCACGCCTTTGCATCCATCTCATAGGCCTGCCTGACCAGATCGACAACCGTCTGCTTGAAGCTGCGATACTCCAGCCCCAACACCTCAGCAGCCGTCTGCCCATCGAGACCATGTGACTCGTCAATAGCCTGCGCCTCGACCTGCACCTTACTCTTGGCCCAGTCGAATTCGTCGACCATGATCGAGGCCGCCCTGCCGTAGGAAAACCGCTCCGACGCCGCAGGCACAAACCTCTGGCCGCCGACCCCAGGCCTCAGCAGCGCCTCGACGTGCGCAAGCGCCAGGTCCCGCACGTCGATCCAGAACGGCACCCTCGCGACGGGAAGCGGCGACTCGCCGCCGGCAATCCTCCACAGCACGGCGTTCGACTCGTTGAGCTTGTCGACGCTGGCGACGGGGTGCACGACGGGCCCGAACGTCATGGGCGGGCACAGCGTCACGAGGGAAAAGGCGGGGTTGCGCGCCGCGACAAAGTCCCAGGCGGCGCGCTCGGCGAAGAGCTTGGAGCCGCGGTAGGCGAGGAAGGCGGGGGCCGAGGGGGCGGCGGCTTCGGCGTAGGTGAGCGGGTTCCAGTCGTTGCCGGTGTAGGTGAAGTAGGGGGGCGCCGAGCGGTTGGCGTCCATGACGGAGGCGAAGGAGGACGTGAGGACGAGGCGGGTGATGTTCGGGTTCGAGGCGGCGGCGGCGAGGATAGCCTTGACGCCGACTATAGCGGGCAGGATGAGCTCCTTTTCGTTGTCCTTGGTGTCGTAGCTGAAGGGCTGGGAAGGTCAGCGTTCCGTTCTGGAGAGGAAGTGAGAGAGCTACTGCAGGGAATGAATGATGCTTGCAGGCTCGAACTTGGTGTAGAAACACGCACGCTGGCGACGTGGACCACGGCATCGACGTCTTTGACGGCTTCGGAGAAGTCACCGCCTTCGGCAAAGTCTGGCACCTGCACAAAGTCAAGCTTCGACGCGTACTGCGGTCGGGACTGCATCATGAGATGGCCCTTGGCCAAAGATCGCGTGGCACCCCTGACGCGAAGCCCTCTGGACAAGAGGACATCGACGACATGGGCGCCAATGAAGCCTGTGGCCCCCGTGACGAGGATGTAATGCCTGGGCCATGTCAGTCTTAGACCGCAGTTATGGAGCATGGGGCATAGTACGGTGGTGTGGCCATATTGCTTGCATCCGACGAAGCATGAATTTGAGACCAGCACGATGACTTTGAGAATGCAGCATCATGGGCGGGGCAGAGCTCGCTGCGGGGCAACTACAGGCGATGCGGGGGAGAAGACCATGGAAGACCGAATCACTTGGCAGCATATATCGTCGAGCAAATCGTCACTGTCTGTATCCGAGGCAGATCTAGGAGAATGCAGACTTTCTTGTTTTGGTAACTGTAGACTAAAAGAAGGAACTGCTCATAAACTGCCATTCTGAGGCCATCAGCCAGGTTCTTCGTAAGTACCGATCGACAAGATGCCCTGGCCTTTTTTACGTCTAGCTTTCCACTTCCACCAAGTAGTCCTCAAACTCCTGTCTCGTATAGGGGAGGACAGAAATACGCTCGGCACAGTGATCGGATAGAAAATCCAGACCGGCATCGCTGCTCGAGAAGACGAATTGAACCGCGTTGGACAATCCATTGGGACCACGGACCCGAAGAACACAGCGGTCGTCAACCTCTTCCCAAGATTCCATTCTGTGATACGCACCATTTGGCTTGCAGGCGATGGTACCGATGATCAATGTGGCGAGGCTGTACTTGCGGATGTGCGATGGATGTCTTTTGCCTCTTCGTGACAGATAGATAAGTTCTCTCCACTCTGGATCGGGATAGTCAATTCGAACGAGCTCGGTATCGTTGAGCTGTTCAATGGCTGAGTTCGGGACCAGGACCTGGACGATCACAACACCCTCGCAGTTGGCGCGACGCTTGGCATAGGCTGCGTAGTTTTGGGCCACCTTGTAGTCAGGAGAGAAGTAAAAGAGCTGCTGGTTGCGACTGAAGTCGCTGGGAGGAGCGCTGACAAGCCTCTCCATCTCAGCGACGGTGCCGTGGCTGTCGAAGAGACCGTGTATGCGGGCTTGGTCGACCCCTTTGTACAGAGCAGTGTACCCCGGTGCATCACGAGCCGCTATCTTGCTTGTCGGCGTGATGTTCTCGGCTGGAACGCCTGGCGTTTCGAGGCACTGGAGCCCAGAGGCTGACCGCTGGCGTTCATGGTGACGTTGTCCTTGGGCGATCTGGCTTGAGGGGCCTCCCGAGGTCGACGAGCTACCAGGACGACTCGCTTGTCTCAGTAGGCCCGTTTCTCTCTCACGCGAGGCACGCTGAATATCCTCGAGGCCAGCATAGCGCATCTCGACCGTGTCTTGGGCCCAGAAAGCGCAAGACTGCGTCAGCCGAAGGGTCTTGAAGAGAGGATCCATGATGGCGGTTTGGACGTCCGCGGACATGCCAAACGCATCAAGGCAGTCACGCCACTGCTGGTCGTCATCGTCCCAGACATCACGGTTTCCACTGAATGTTCCGGTGATGAAGAAGAGGAACGTCATGGTAAGGCCACCACCCGTGTCGGCATCGACTTCGCGGCGCGGCCCGGTGGGTGGCCAGTCGCTCCACTCGGCCCACAGCGCATCCGCCTTCTGCTCGGAGAAGCCTAGGTAGACAAGGGTGGCGCGAGAGATGAGAAGATCGGGAATCGTAGAGAAGGCAGTGGGGGCGGCTGGAGATTGAAGGGAGATGCTCAGAGGAATGGCGGCATTCTCTTCATCACTGGATCGGTTCAAGCGGCGTTTGTGTACACGGCGGGTGCCATCGGCCGTCGGGGGGCCAGCTAGACCGCGGGATTGAAGATCCTCAACATCTAGCTCGGCAAAGATTCTTCCACTGCCGGACATCGTGGTGTTGTTGGTCTTTTGCGATTATGATAGGTTGTTGTTGGAGGTTGGTTGTGGAGGGTGTAAAAGAATAGGAACCAAGGGCAGATCAACTCCCCATCTTATATCCGGCTGCCTATTGTAGAAAGGTCAGTGATTCTAACAAGCTTTTTCTGCTATCGGAGATGATCAGTGAAGTTTGTTGAATCTTAAAACCGGGTTGGTGGCAGTTTGGCTACCTAGCAGGTAAGGCACCTAGGTAAGGTAAGGTACCTAGGTGAGGTAGAGGTAAGGTAGGTAGGTAAGGTACATAAAGGTTGAATGGAAAGAAAATCTCCAAGGCGATGGCAGGCCTGACATGTGGGTCCTTTCCACTGCATCACAAGCACCAACAGATGCAGGAGCCCTGGTCACGATTGTTCATGGTACCTCCCCAGGTATTTATCTAGGTACCTCACCTCCTTCCTAACCTTAAGATGGCTGGCTTAACTGGAGTAGACGCAAATACCATTCTGACTGTGGTCTTCCTTCCTAATTGTTCACCATTGACTGACAATGACGCGTCAGGGTCAATGCGCTAGACAGCGTAACGCAGAAGTCGCCAGCTGATGTCGCTCCTTCCCTTCTTTGCGAGGGCTGCCCCGAGAAATATCCTTCATCATGCGCCAGTTTTGCAACAACATATATACCACACACCTCATACCTTCCTGCACTACCACACACGAAAGCATCACGGCCGACTGAAGTGTTTGATCAAGTTCTTAATCCATCTTGTCTATTTGAGCAACAGAAAAATCAGTCCCACCCAGTCCATCACATGGCGCCTCCTCCGTCAGGCTTGGCTTCCCTGCCAACGGAGATCAGGCTCATCATCTGGCAATACTGCATCAGCACCGATCTCCTTCTCATAAGTCGAAAGATCCATTACGAGGTATATCATCTTGTTTGGCGCCACACCACCTTTCTGCTAAAGTCTCAAAACCACGGCAAAGCCTGCCACGGGCCTGCTCCCGACGTCAGCGACGGGGCTGCGGCGTGTGAATGCCTCTGCCCTGGTGGAGGCGACACGGTCACCGAAAAGAAGATGCTCGGTATTGTCACCGGTGTACGCAAACCCATCTCCGACAGCTTCTTCGACCTTGAATACACGCCGTAGCCCACGAGCGATTCGACGGCAACAAGAACGCTCCTTCCCTTCGATCGTCTAGCCCAGCTCGATGTCGGCGAATGTTACGCCATGCTCCAGCCCTTTGTCATAGATTCGTGGGCTGATGTGGTCCCGCATCTCCAAACGCTTCCCGCATCTCCAAATGCTGGTCGCGCACACCAACTTTGGCGTCATCTTCGTGGAAGATGATCCCATTGGCGGCGGCAGAAGATGGGCAGTACGAGCACGTCTCACGCAGCGAGTCCGAGATGAGAAAGGCAGACTCGTCGTGCCTCCGGACGCTATTCGTCTCATGAGAATGCATGCTGTGGAACAGACATGTGCAATATGGAAGCAAGTCGGAGGTCTCACCGAAGGATCCTCGGTGACTCAGGCGGCCCTCGGTGACTCAGGCGGCCCTCGGTGACTCAGGCGGCCCTCGGTGACTCAGGCGGCCCTCGGTGACTCGAGCGAAGAGGGTCGGCTTGTGGGGCCGATGACGGCACGCAGCCCACGCTGCCCCGCGTCGCGTCGCCCAGAGGTCGGGCCAAACTTCAAATCCCAAATTACCCCTCAACACCGTACCTTACCTGCGTACCTTGAGGCACCTTGCACTACCTGTTGCTTGCCCTGTTGCTTGCTTCTCACGCCACCCAAGATACCCATCATCGCAGCCTACACATCCCACAATGGCGCCCGACCTCCAGTCCAGCAAGATCGCCTTCATCGGCGGCGGCAACATGGCAGCCGCCATCATCGGCGGTCTCCTGGCCAAGTCCATCCCCAAGCAGCACATCACCGTCGCCGAGCCCTGGGAGGTCAACCGCGACAAGATGGCCGCCCTCGGCGTCAACACGACGACCTCCAACGCCGACGCCTTTGCCGACGCCGACATTGCCCTGCTCGCCGTCAAGCCCCAGGTCGCCAAGGGCGTGTGCGAGGAGCTCGCCGCCGCCGTCGCCGGCCGCGACCGCCTGCCCGTCGTCGTGTCCATCGCCGCCGGCATCACCCTCGACGCCCTGCAGAAGTGGCTCACCCTGCCCGACGCCAGGGTGCCTCACGTCGTGCGCGTCATGCCCAACACGCCCGCCCTCGTCGGCGAGGGCGCCTCGGGCCTCTTCGCCGGGAGCGACGTCACCGAGGATGAGAGGCAACTGACCGAGTCGCTCATGGCGAGCGTCAGCAAAGCCACCGAGTGGGTGGACAGGGAGGAGCTCATTGACGTCGTCACCGGCCTGTCTGGTGAGTCCCCTTTCTTCTTTCTTCTTCCATCTAGGCAAAACAATGTGGACCGCACGCTGACTATCGCAGGCTCCGGCCCCGCCTACTTCTTCGCCATGGTCGAGCACCTTATCGCCAGCGCCGTCGGCCTCGGCCTGTCCCCCGAGCAGGCCAAGCGCCTCGCAGCCCAGACGTGCCTTGGCGCCGGCAAGATGCTCGTCGAGTCCCCCGAGGCGCCGAGCCAGCTGCGCAAGAACGTCACGAGCCCGAACGGCACCACGCACGCCGGCCTGCAGAGCTTCGAGGCCTCGGGCTTTGCTGACGTCGTCGACAAGGCCGTCAAGGCTGCGACGGCGCGAGGCGAGGAGCTCGGCAGGACGCTGGGCAACCAGTGAGCTGCCACGGTTGGGGTTGCGTGTGTGTTTTACCGTAGACGATGTAGAAAAGCAAAATAGACGATACGACAATCAAGGTGGGGGCCCATATTGTGTGTGCTGGAAGATGATTTCCGGAGTCGAGAGGCGCGAGATTGGACGAGGTACCGAGACATGTTTCACGCGGTGAACGCTGAGAGATGGAATGCTCTATTTGCCACTGGAGACATGGTAGGGAACTAGGTCATCCTGCGCTACTTAGGATACAGAAGTTGGCATCGATCCATGCAGCACATGTTCATACGGAAACAATTAGCCACCTCACGGCTTACCCGATCGTCATCATCTTGAGCCTGCCGCTTTTCAGCCTTGGGCGCTTTCGCCGACTGGATACTATGCATCCACGACTGGAATTGTTCACATGCCAGAAAGCTCAGAAGCGGTTTTCACATCAATCACCCAGCCCTCCGAAATCTGCATGTCAGCACAATGCAGAACGCAGTGCAGGAGAGAGGCCGCCCCGCGATCATGACTGCGGCTGAGGATACACACGCCAATGTCACCTGTGGTGGCGTCTCACCACGTCTCCAAAGCTCAGCTACAGCGGCGCCCTTATCCTTAGCTGACCGCTCTAGGTTTCAGTCGGCTCGGTGCCTATTGGCACGCATTGCGCCGCAGTCGTTCTGGTCGTGCTCCGGCGTCATCCGTTGTCAACCGGCGACCTCAGCCCTGTGCATTGAAAGCTTATTGCTTGCAAAACCGATCATCTGCATGTGATTATACAGGTCATAACCTGGTGCACGTTTGGCCTGCGGCATGCGCCCTGAGCATTCGATGCTATGGGCATATGAGGGAGCTCGTCCCAGCGAGAAGGCTGCCGCTCAGGGCCAGCTTCGTTCATGCCTACACCTTCAAGCGCCCTTGCCCGTTGCTACACGTCCAAACATGTCTCTGCTAGCTCAAGGTATCGTTGGTGGGATCGTGGGCATCACCACGACCTCAGCCATCATCAGCCTCAGGGTCGCCACAAACATCTTTCTCGCCGCGAGCGACACGGCCATTGTCGACACCCTGCTCCAGCTGATCCATCGATCTCTCGAAGCCCTCACCCAGAGCTTGAGCGGAGCAGCCTTGATATGGAGGGGCATCTTCACCAACGGCACCAATGACACGAGCGTTCACTTTATCCTTAACCACCTCTCCGAGCTCTTCGCCTTTCTCTACGACTTGTTCAAGCCCGCCAACGTCATCCCGCGGTTCCCCATTGGCTTCGGCAACGGCCAGGAAAATGCGAGCGTCGACAACCCCTACAACGAACTCGACCTCCGCCGCGAGGAGAACCGCCGAGCCTGCATCTACCAGGTTCAGCGCGTCGCCGTGACCCTGACCTCCATCCTCAAAATGGGCCGCGGGCCAGTCCCGCGCGGCGGCCTCGGCGACCTGCAGATGAACGCCCGCCTCCGCAGCGACTTTGACAAGGCCAACAACCCGCCACCCCCCACGTACGACGCCCGCCTCGAGCACGGGCAGAAGCCCATCTACCCCGACGAGCGGTGGCTCTTCATCAACGGCATCGCCAACGAGTTTGTCTGGTTCCAGCGCTCGTGCGACAAGCTCCGCGACACATTCCGGCGCGACGTCCGCGGCGTCTTCAACAGGAGCGACGGCTTCCTCTGGGACCTGATCGAGTGCTGCGGCGAGCGCAGCGCCGCCGACGCCGCGGGTAACGACATCATCGCCCGCACGCAGAGCAGCAGGGCCGCGCAGGACGTCCTCGCCCGCGAGCTCGCCGCCGCGCTGTGGCCCGCCGACGGCGCCGGGCCGCCCGCCAAGGTCGTCATGGTCGCGCACTCGCAGGGCTGCCTGCTCCTGCGGCTCGCGCTGCACAGGCTCGTCAGGGACGGCGCCGGCCAGGCGCCGGCGAGGCGGAGGGACATGGCGGAGCGCCTGCACGTGTTCACGTTTGGGAACCCGAGCGTCGACTGGAGGGTCCTGGACGGCGGCGAGGTCCGCCCGCTGAGCGCCTATGCCAGGGTTACGGAGCACTTTGCGCACCGCGCCGACTTTGTGGCCATGCTGGGGTGCGTGACGCAGGCGGCTGGGGCCGAGTCGGGGTATGCTGGCGCGCCGGTCTTCTTCAGCAACGGGGGACGCGGGCATTTATTTGGGGCGCATTATTCGCTGGGTGCGGAGTCGTATGTTGACGGAGACAACTCGAAGTTGCTCAAGGCTGTGGCGGGAAGGCCTCTCTGGCTTGAAGAATGATGCACCCAGTGGCATGACGGGGGGCGAGAAAGGCGCCTGAGACGGCGAGTGGCCTGTTCTGATTCGCAATGATTAATGATCGCCCGCGAGGATTAGAACCACGACACATGCCGGGGCTGAAATCATATGGTTTACACCGCGATAGGTTAGGCAACGTATCTTATGCAGTATTCCTTGATTGCCGGGCGCCTCAGCTAAGCCGGAACTTCTTATGATGCGCTGTTGATGCGCTCCTCGATTCCGTCGACGACCAGCCAGACACTCCGGACAGGCAAGTCATGGTAGCCCGTAGCCTGCCACAGCTGCTCCTCGGCTCGACCAATGCGTGGTACGCCATACTGACGGAGGACGAGAACCAAATTCTGGTACTGGAGATCGAAGGTAAATTGAATTAGCGGTAGATATCTAGTATAAGCGACTCTATGAGCGTCAGATTTTCTATCAATAGCTTGGTAGTGTATTTAAGTGGCTCCCGAGATCCTAATCCTGATGAAACTTTTACCCTAACCCTAGTCAGTTCACAGTGGAAACAAACTATAACTGCTGAGGAATAGAGACTAGTTTGCTAAATGATGATAAGATGGATAGCTCGAATAGTGGGATCCTCAATGCCTCCTCGGTGGTCCTTGGCTGAATGGTACAATTAATATGCCTAAACTTATGTCTCTGATGTAGAGGGGAGTCTTGGCGAAGGTGACCTATTTCGGACTGCATCTTGTGCTCATATTGAACGATTCAGAAGATACTGTGAAGGTGGATCGAATCATCCGACTGGGCCATATTGAAGATGTGAACCTCGAGTAAAGCTTCCTGGCGGATTGGCACACGGCCGAAACGATGAGGCTTCACCTTGCCCTCCTCTCTGAATTGTCTGAGTGAGGGGACTTCTTTTCCTCCGACGATTTAGCCTTGGGTTGGTAGTATGGGACAAGTCTACGTAGCCATTCGGCCATTCCCTGATCTGCCTGGGAGATAGGCATCATCAGACGCGATTTCCGATGTGGGCTTCTCAGCCGGAGCCGATGGAGTCTTCGCTGCACAAACACCATGCGCGCTGCGACTGCAGAAACGTTAGAAGGCTTGCTCAACACCTGTCAGCATCCCTATCTCATGTACTTAGCCGGCTTCTGGATTTCACCCGGTTCATATGTGCGATCCCAAGTTCACGATTCGCCTTCGGGAATTTGCCACCACAAAATCTGCTTGACTTCGGCTCTGCTTGGGAATTCCCGATAACGGGTTTCCCGGCAAACACGTAAGAGCGTGGCTGACACCGACAGAAGACCGCACGAAAACACTGCTACGGATGCGATCGACGCGGCTAATGCCTTGCGAATTCGTGAACGGGCATGGGGTCTTTCTATGGATTTGGGACATTGGGCTCCAGTGAGCATCCGCGGACACCGAAGCCATGACGATCATCGCGACAACGCACTCAGAAAGCCCGGATGATGGCTTGGAATATGCAGCCTCCCGTCGCGATGAGGACTTCCCAATGTGTAACGCCGGCAACACCCCAGGGTGGATATAGAACGCTACTTGCGACCAGCAGAGAGCATCGAGAGCAGCAAACTTGAGCAACGTAGGGAGGCCTTGGGAGGTATCTAGAAAAAGAATGCTTCGGATTGTTGGCGCCCACACGACACGTGAAACAATAGTTGGAGTGGGCGAGAAGTGGGCGCGACGCCGGGTCGGTGAGCTGTTCAAGCGGTTGTCGCACGATGTGGCTGAGATCTTCGGACTCCGTATCAACGCCTGGGTTTTCTTGCCACGCTGAGTGGGATCGGTATGTGGCAACCATCACCCCAGCACGGGGTGACATGTTTGTAGGTGCTGATTGCTTCACGACAATCAGCTGCACCTGATCTTTCGGAGAACCGTCTGGCTTTTGGAGGTGCCAGAAATCGCCACGAACACATCAAAGCAAATCATCGAGCTCCTAGGAGAAGACGCTTTGTAGGCGGAACTTGACATGTGCTGCGCAGCTTGTTTGGACAGTATCAAGATATCATGTTACGCGAGTAGGGCATCGCTATTCACCTACATTGCTCCTTCTGCAGCGGCTTTAGCCACGCGAACAGCCATCACAGTTCTCAGGCACTGAAATACTCGTAGCGCAATATCAATTTCTTCCTATCCAGCAGCTGCCTTCGGCAGCTGTACCTGACAGGCGTGCTCTTCACCCGAGGTGCCGCAACGCGCCATTCTCTGCAATATCTACCCTTTCCGATTAGACCTGGACAGGAGAAGCCTTCGCAAAGACCATCCACTCTGTCTCGAACTTCCAGTCCCGTTTGTTCTCAAGCTCACACCCGCCCTCTCCTGTGACCCTCATGTTCTCGCCACCAGCGACTTTGTCAATGCCGCTCTGGATGAATCGTTTGACGTCCTCGTTCCCCATTCCAATTCTGGCAACAGGGCATGCCGAGAAGACGCAAGTCCCGAGCTGAATGATAGCCGTACCAAATCCTTTGTGACACCATTGAACGTCGTCGTGGGAGAAAAGCCAGTATCCGTGCCACGCCGAGTGTGCGAGGACTGACACAAGTTCACGACAGTCGTCGGTTCGAGCCAGCAGATCCTTCGTCTGTTTCTGGGCGGTGATGGGGTGGCATCTGATCGAGGATTTCTCGGTCGTGACATATGTGACCCTGTCGTTGCTCTCAGCACCGCCGTCGCCGGGGACCATTTTGGATCGCATGACTGCTGCATTAACCTGGAAAGTGACCTCTTTGCCATCATCAGTCTTCAAGACATGTTCCATCCAATTGGTGTGGTCTTCGCGCGTTCCTAGGAGCTTGGCTTTGTCGCTGACGATGCTGCGTGCACTGTTGTCGGGTGCGGTGTCGTTGCCGTTCTTTCCTTTGATGCCCCAGTCTTCTACTTCGGACTCCTCTTCGGCGTTGGGATCTGGTTTCTGCGGGTCTTCAACTTGCCACTGAGCGGGAGTCTGGATGCGGAATCCGTCGCAGTCTTGAAAGCATTCATCGCAGTACTTGTTCCCACGAGCCTCAATACGTCCATCAACGACGGAACTGCCAAGGTCGAAGGCGCGGCGGAGAATTGCCGCCCCATCTCCGTTTCCGATGTACGTCTTGTCGTATACGAGGGCTTTGACTGCACAGGTGCCGGTTGATGCGAGGGTGAAGAGCTTCGGATAGTCCTCAGCAGGATCCAGGAACCATCGTCTGTCCTCAGCATCAAAGTATTCCAGGAGAGCTTTGCAGTCAGAGACAAGAGGAGAGTCGGTGGATGTGTGAACTGAATCGTAAACGGAGCCTCCGCAATGGGTGATGGCTTCGCTGGCCTTTTCAACTGTGAAGTGATCGCCGTCCTCTGTGGTTGCCAGTGCAGGAACGGTGATTATGATGCTGGAACCGTTGGAGATGCGAAAAGAGAGGGTGGTGGGGTCATCCACCGAACGGTTGATCTTTGTGCTGTCTGAATTCTCTACCGTATCTTTGGCATGGCCGGGCGACAAGGCTGGATGCTGGACGCTGAAAGCCCAGGTGTGTACAACCAAGAGGCCGACAAGAAGCTTCTTGAGCATGATGGAAGATGTTACCTCTCGTGCTTGAAGGTTTCGTTGACAGGTATTCTGTGTGAATAAGGTCCTTTTGCAATGATGGACTTCTGCTTTGAGGTGGTGGTTGTTGGAAGGCCTTAGAGTAGGCAGTTTGGTAGATTGCAGAATGTGAATTGCGGGAGGGCATGCCTTTTAAGAGAATTGGATCGTCAGTGAATGTGGGCAGCCTCGAGTGAATCATCAAGCAGGGAAAGAACCCCAGTGAACAGTGTAAAACTGACGGATTTAGGGAGGAAGAGGATAGCAGCGAAGAAGTCGAAGCTTACCCTTTACAGACCTTGGTGCTTGAGATTTACTCTGTTATGGGTCGATGGCATTACTCTACTCGAGGCATCTTCAAGAAAGGATCACACGCATTAAGCAGTGGCGATGGCCACGTGGACAACCTCCGTATATCATTGATTCTGGGTGGTAGAGTTGCTTACCATTGGCGCGGACACCATGAAGCAAACGAAGGGAGATTCCGGCGTTGCGGACTCGTGCGTCGGTGTACTACGTTCCACTGCTTGAGTCCATGTCTGGCATCGACGCTGAAGCATCGAGCTGCATTGATACCCGGAGCTTATCGCACATTGGAGGTAGGTCATCTAAAAAATACCGGAAAAGTCGGCGTCTTAAACCTGGTGTGAACTATTTGTCCCAATGATCTCTAAACTTATGGGAATATGCATGCTTGAACGCAGCTTTCACATGTTCCACCCTGAGTTCAAAATATGTTGTAGGCAACAGGATAACCTTTTGAGCGGATCTGAGTTTAGAGCAAGGAACCGGAATACCAAGGTGAAAAGAATATAATCCATTGTGGAGACAGCCGTCTTTCAACAGTTGCAACCTGCCTGCCCGGCTAGCTCAATCGGTAGAGCGTGAGACTCTTAATCTCAAGGTTGGGGGTTCGAGCCCCCCGTTGGGCTCAATTCCTGACGCACCTCCTTTGAGGCCTTCACTTTTGCCGAATCTCACCTTTTGTTGTCCGAAGCCACATTTACGATTCACAGCTCACTCGCGACGTAGGACATCCAAGCGCAATCAACAATGTACAACATGGAATGCACCTTAGTTGTTTGAGTATAGCTTGTAATCTCTTTTTTTGTTCTCATGATGTCTGGATTTATCTTGGGCTTTTGCAGCTCCTTATGGGCTAGCTAGCAAGTGTTTACCAATCCAGCCTCGTCCCATAGATGCTGGATGGCGAGGTGCAGCATGCCACTCAAGACGTGCTGCCATTTCGCTAGCTTCCCTTCAAGCTCCTTGAAAAGCATAACGGTTCCAAAGCCCCTACCAAATATAGTTTCTCGGGTGCTCATCCCCGACTTCGGCGCAAAGGTCGCATTTCTGATGGTCGCACCGCTTGGCGGCACGATTCTTACATCTCTCACCAGGGATGTTGTGGTCCTGACCGCAGTGGCAGCATGTCCACCGTCCCGGGTTGGGGTGGCCGCGACGGCAATTGCCGCACTTGAAGTGGGTGCAGCTGAGGAGAGTTGGGCACATCTGATGGTTCATGAGAACCGTCTGATTTCTGCAGAGACAGCATTCGAAGCCCATTTTTCCTTGATGTGGGGGGTATTGTACTTGTCAAGTTGGCGATGGTCTTTTTGCTTGTCTGATTGAGACTGGTTATTCACTTTATCAATGGTGTTTTATTTTGATAAATGGAATCCTTCATCGAGCAAAAACAGTCTTTCTATTTATTGCCTTTCGCCGCTGGGTGGAAGAAGACTTGAATGGTCGACGGAGACGATGAATGGTGTGCAAATGGCACAGGCACGACCTGGCCCTGACCATGAATTTACGTAGAAATTGCGGTTCAGAACAGTCAACGGCGTCCCTTGACACCAATCACTAATCATGGGCTTGGGATGGACACGTGAATTATCTTGCCAGAAAAGTGATGATGCCCATCACGCAGGCTCAGATTCACCTAGGCCCAGCAATGGCTGGTGGTACTGGTCTCTCTCAGCAAGCAAAGGAATATCACCCGTCGAGCAGCACTAGAGGGTAAGATTTTCAGGTAGAGCGACCAAGAAGGTTACAGACACCACAAATTCGTGCCGTATTGTTACGGGTCAGAACACGTTGCCTGGATGCACATTATTCGGCTTGCTATAGCACCTTCGTCCCACAAGCAACACATGTCTCTCCATTGTGGGAGTGGAAACTCATCAAACTCCATGCACTAGTGGCCGGTTGGGAGTACAGTGAAGTCCCCTTCACCTGTTGCTACATGCTCGGCCATGGCCATGAGCTGGAATATTGTCGAGCATGTCCCGTTCAGCAACCCTAGCCTGGATCACGTTTCCCTAAGAATGTTCCTTCAGCTGTTGGGCACCCGACAAGATGGTTCACGATGCCACAAACGTCGCGGAAACGACGGGTAGTCCCGGCCCCTGTTATCTGGGTCATGGGACAGTCTTCAGCATCCTTCTCCACGGGCCTGCATAGCGCTAAGTTGAAAAGGGACCCAGAGGACCACACCACCACAGACGCTGACGGACGCCATTTCGGCAACCCTTACAACAAAGAACAAGCCCACATCGTCCGCCGCCTATAGCAGCATCGCGTCCACGTCGTCCCCCGAAAATTTCCACACACTGCAGTGGGGAACTCTAAACAGCCCAGCCGTCGTGTCAGTAGTCGGGGCCCAGAAAGCGGGGGGGGGCATCAGAAGCCAACTGGCACTGATTCCCCTCCAACGCCAGCTGGCTGAATGAGGGGATTTTTTCCCGCAATGTGGCAGAGTTTCGCGCGATGTGATCTCCCCGTCCGTTGTTTCGGTAATCGTTGCTTGGACCCCCGAACCTTGACGTCCGTGGAGCCGAGATCCAAATCTTGTCTCAAGCCATCGTTCTCAACGCCCTCCGAAAACCGCCATGGTCGCCGCCAACAACGACACGGCACAGTTCCGTGATGATCTCCGCCGTCTGACGCCTGAGCTCCTCAGCTCGGTGCTGGACTACACGTCTGTTTCCAACGTTGACGATGATGTGGCGGCGAGGAACAAGATTGTCGCGGCGGCGCAAGCCATCATTGAAGCCGCTCGCCCGCCGCAGCCGCAATGGATGAACCAGTCTGCTGCGTGCGCCGAGTTTGTAGCACTGCGCCTGTTCATTGATTGGGGTGCTTTCGAAGCGATCCCCATCGAGGGCAGCATCACATACCAGGAGCTCGCCGACAAGGTCGATGCCGAGGTTCAGCTCGTTCGTGCGTGCTTGACTCCGTCGTTTGGAGAATGGCATGATCTGACTGATGGCAGTTCGCTTTGCATGGATCATGGTGTCTACAGGACTTCTCGAACAGATCGGCGAGGATAGAGTCGCTCACACGGAAAGGTCGAGACAGATTACGCAGCATGGCCCTCTCAGGAGCATGTGGTCATTAATGTGAGTCTGACGCCTATCTCATAGAGGTCGTCGGGGAACTATAGGCTCTGACGGTCTCAGGTTTGATAACTCGTTCATGGGTTCTGCGTCCATGCCTGAGTACTTCCGCATTTACGGTCGGAAAGAACCCGTAGGACCAGCACATGTTCCGTTCACCTTCGCGCATGGCGCCCCTGACAAGGCATTTTGGGAGGTCCTCAATTCGGATCCCAAGCGCATGAGAACCTTCATGGAAGCCATGACGAACGTTGACAAACAAGTTCCCCTCATGGGCCCTCATCTTGGGCTCTACGACTTCGACTGGGTGGCGGAGGCTGCGAAGAATGTACCCTCGGACCGACCGCTGCTCGTCGACGTCGGCGGAGGCAAAGGTCACGTTATGAAGACCTTCTGCGATGGCAACACCCCTTTGACGCTCGACAGATGCGTCCTGCAGGATCTACCGCCAATCATCGAGCACAATAAGGCAGATGTCAACTCGGGACTTGGGGGAGCCACACTGATGGCGATCGATTTTCATAAAGAGCAACCAGTTCAAGGTACTTTCGTTCTGGGGCTGCGTCTCGGCGTAAGGTGAAGTCGGAACTGACAGCGATAGGTGCACTGATCTATTACATTCGACACTGCCTTCATAACTACGGTGATGAGGCCGTCATCGGCATCATGAAGCACACGGCGGCGGCTATGGCTGATGATAGCAAACTCCTCATTGCAGAGTACATCATGTCAAATCCACCAAGCAAGTTCGCTATCTGGATGGATTTCATCATGTGCATGTCGGGCGGAAAGGAGCGCACAAAGGCCATGTGGCACGAGGTCACAGCCCAGGCCGGTCTCAAGATAGTTGCTTTCCACGGAGTAGACACCTCTCCCGATGGACACGCCGTCATAGAGTGCGTAAAGGCGGGTGACCCCTCACCCCCCGACAGCGCGGCTACGGCGTGAGAACGCTTGGCTTGCCTGTTAATATGATGCCATCCAAGCCTCCATGTGAGCCAATCTTTTCCGTTCGTCCCATATCACATCACAGCCCACATACAGAAGGTCCTGGACACCACGCCAGACAAAGGTCGCAAAACCCGAACGCTACGCTGCGCTGCAGAAAGGCGGACTAGACTCCGTAGTTGCCAACGATGGGGGTATCCATTGGCTCCACGCACAGCACGAGCTAGGCCGCGCCGGCTTATACGCTTCTTGGGGCAACAAGTTCATGCATGCGATGCGCTAGTTGGCCCCTGTCTCGCCCCTCCAACCTGATCGCAACCCTGTCCTGGCAGGACACATGTGAGCCAGGCCTGCGGGACCCTCTTTACGTCGTCCTGTCACTGCGTCGTGTGCTGGCCGGTTGGTTCTCTGGCGCCGGGCTTCGTTGGCTTTGCCCGCTGCTCTCGTATGGATCTAGACTGAGTAGTGGGAAATAACCTAGATCTAAAGGACCCAGTCCAAGGCGGCCGCCTGGCTGCTTTTAGGAAGTGGGAGAGCGCGTAGAATCTCCCGTCCAGCCGTCCAGGGAACCCTTCCCCTTCCTCCCTCCTCCATTTCCCGGCCCTCGGTCCTTTTTGTCAGGCACCTTTTGTCAAGGTTGCCCCCATTCTCCCAGCCCAATAGCCCAGTCGCCAGCTTAAGAACAATGCGCATCGCAATTATCGGAGGAGGTCCCTCGGGCCTCGTGACACTCAAGTACCTCAAGCAGTCCCAGGAGCTCTTTCCGAACCAGCGGATCGAGGTGAAGCTCTTCGAGGCTGCACCCAAGATTGGCGGCATCTTCTTCCACCACACCTACGAAAAGGCTGAGCTCGTGTCGTCCAAGTTTCTGACTAGCTTCTCGGACTTTCGCCCCCGTCGCGACGACCCCGATTTCCTCTCAGCGGAACGCTATGTCGAATACCTCGAAGAGTATGCGACCGAGTTTGACCTCTGGCCGAGCATTCATCTGTCAACGAAGGTCGCCTCGGTAGTTCGCGGTGATATTTCAGGTCACGTCATCAAGTATGAGACGCCCGAGGGAGAGATCGAGTGGGAGTGTGATGCCGTTGCCGTCTGCTCCGGCCTCCATGACCGACCCAACATTCCTGACCTCAAGGGCGTCGAGAATGTGCCGGTGGTGATGCACTCGGAGAAGTTCAAGCACAGTGAGCAGTTTGGCGTCGACAAGACCGTCATGGTCATTGGCGTGGGCGAGACAAGCTTCGATATCTGCGCCCTGGCCATCAACGCGCCGACCAAGAGAGTCGTCGTATGCCACCGTCACGGCTGGTTTGGAGCGCCAAAGGTTAGCAGATCTCTGGCTACAAGAGTCACAGCGTCAAGTTAACAGTTCTGACCAGCGCATTGCCAACACTCGCCTGTTCCCCAGCATCTGGGAGATTCCCGAAGAAGAGAACAAGACATTCCTCGACGGCTCCCTTCCCATCGACGTCAGTCACCTGTCGCTCTTTGACACGAGCTACGTGCACCCTCTCGCCCGAGACTCGATGATCGTGTGGGACCACTACGACTCGGTAGCCGTCGGCAGCAGCTGGGTTTCCACCGGCACGGCCCTCGGGTTTGACCAGTTCGTCGGGCCCGTCGCTCCCGAACGTCTTCATGCTTCGCGCCGTGAGTGGCTCCGTAGCAAGCTCCCCGTAACAGATTGCACGCACTGACACTGAGCCAACGTACAAGTCTTCTTCAACAAGGCCTGGACCAAGGTCTCGAAGCACATTTCGCCGCCCTACCGCCCTACCGAGCCCGCCACACTGGGCGACCGCATCCGCAACTTCATGGTCCGCACCCCAGTCGAGGTCGCCGACCGCCTCATCGATGTTGCACCCTATCCCACGCATATTGACGACAATGGCGTTGCCCACTTCCGCGACAACGGTGGTGAGGACTACCAGCGCATTAAGAATGAGGTCATCAAGCCTGATGTCATCGTCTTCGCGACCGGCTATCTCCAGAGCTTCCCCTTTCTCGAGGCAAAGGCCAACACGGGTCGCAAGCCCTACCCCCGGGCCGACGAGGCCGACGTGCGCGAGATTTGGAGGCGTGACGACCCGACGGTCGGTTTCATTGGATTCGTTCGCCCTGGCTTTGGTGCGATTCCGCCGCTGTCGGAGCTGCAAGCCATGCTCTGGATTCTCAATCTTGCCGGTCGGGTGAAGAAGCCGTTGAAGCTTGACGACCAGTGGCACTACCGCATCATCGCGCCACCGAGCGCCAGACTGACGTATGGAGTTGAGCACGACAGCTATGCTTTCCAGCTCGCCGAGGACATGGATGCCGTTCCGGGCATCAAGGATGTTGTGAGGCTAGGCCTGACCAAAGGCACCGGACCCTTCTGGAGATTGCCCTGGATCTGGGCGTCTGCCCCGAATTTCACGGTCAAGTTCAGGCTGGTCGGTCCCTGGGCATGGGAGGGTGCGACGAACGTGATGACCGACGACATGTGGGAAGTTGTTTCGAGAAGGAAGGGACTGTTCAGTAAGTGCTGTCGAGAGAGAATGATTTGTCGACGACGTGTGTTGACTTTGACCACAGACAACTTCACCCTCGGTTTGATGCCAATGATGCAGCTCGGGCCGGTCCATCTTTTCCTCTTTTTTTACGCTCTATTCTTCAACTTCCTCGCCGTGTTTGGTTTGGCCAAGCCTGTCAAGCCTGTTAGTGAGCCGAAGAAGAGGATCGAGGAGCTCGCGCGAAGGGAGAAGAAGCTGGAGGGCATCAAGATCAACGGCACACACTGATTTGAAGGGCTTTGTGACGTGATGACTTGTTTCGGCTACTCGTACGGATGTTGGTTTGCTTTCTCGGTGGTGTTTCTTCCCGGCCTGGAGGTTTGTGTAGTTTTCGTGTTCGACCATCGTTTTCCATAGCATCAATGGCGAGAACTTTACTCAAATAAGCTGTCAAGTTACTCGTCGAAGTTGCAAATCAAGCCCAAAGCAAATGCTCTCGTCGTTGAGAAAAACTTCTCAGGGTCCGTGCCAGAGGCTGAGACATTCGATCGGACCCGCAAGATCGAGAGCAGTACAGCATTCCACGCCGATAGCTTTCAGCCTTGCACAATACGAAGAGAAGAGAGAGCGAAAAGAAAAAAAAAACATCTTCCCCTCTCAGACCCTTGCTACCCCAAGCCGAACTGAGCGTCCATAACCCCAGCCGTCCCGCTCAACCCCTCACTCTCTTGTGTAATGATGCATGATGGATCGACTTGCAAACAGCTCAATTCTAGCTGTGAAGGTCTGCCATGTCCTCGGTTCACTGCTCAAATCTCCGCCTTTCACCGCATATTGATGGCATCTCGCAGCCTCGGAAAAGAACGCAGGCACGGAAACGATACGACCCTGCGGATAAGCATCACCAGCACAAACCACCGCTTCGACCTGCGTGAATAGCTTCAGATCACCGTGTCCCCTTGCCGAGGTGGCTGTGCAGAGACATTCCGATCAGACTGCCCCCCGGACGATGTCCCGCCCGATTGGTGTAAGATTGTTTTCACGATGATCGTCACCCCGACTCGGCACTAGCCTACCATCTACCCCAGAGCTCACAGCAGGAAGAAATATGTTTCCTTCCAGGGGAGAGCACTCGTGTCGACCTGTAAAAACAAGCTTAATTCCTCCCCCGCATCTAATCTCCAGAACTACCGTCACATTCCCCACGCCATCATATTTTCCCCGCGATGGGAGATCAGCGAGCTCCGCAGAAGGGCCCCCCGACACGGCGTATTCAATCAGGCTTTTCCGTACCAGTTGCCGTTGGACCCTTGGTCGATCGTTATGACATCAGCACGAGAAGAGCTTTGGGATTGCTTCCAGACTCGTGAAAAGCTCCATGTCGGTTTCGGAAAAGGCGGAACCTGGCCGAGATCAGAGACGAGAGATGGCTGATATTTGCGAAGAGACGATGCTTGGCAATTTCGGCGACTGTCAATTAACGCCGTTGGTGATGGCTTTTCGCTGTATAAGAAGCCTCGGGTCGATCGACGGCAGGTGGTCAGCTCCGAAGAAGCCAGGACACCATCTTCTGTCATCTCCAAACCATCACCATGAAGAGCACCTTCGTCGCAGCAGCCACCGCGGTCTTTGCCGGACTCGCTTCGGCGGTCGACCTGCCCACCGGCTGGTTCTCCATCGCCCCTGATGACGAGATTCAGCCTGGCGACCTCAAGGGCAAGCCTCGCTACCTGACATGGATGGCCGACTCCCAGATCAAGCATGGAGTCGAGCCCACTCACGCCTACACCATCTCGTCCTTCTACTCGGGCGTCATGCTGGCGTACGAGCGCACTGGCGACCAGAAGTACCTTGACTATGTCAAGCATGCCACCGATATCATCCTCTACCCCGAGTGGGACGGCACCATCTTGCTGTACAACAACAGTAACTCGATCGATGACATCCGCTTCGGCCACACGTTCCTCGACATCTACAACAAGACGGGCAACGAGATTTACAAGACGGCTGCCTCGACCCTGCGCAAGCAGATTGACCGCACTTACCGCACGCCCGACGGCGGCTTCTACCACCGCTACCCGGTCTACATCGACCAGATGTGGCTTGACGGCATCTACATGCTTGACGTCTTCTATGCCCGCTGGACGCGCGAGTTCGAGCCCGACAACTCGACCGCCTGGGACGACATTGCCCTGCAGTTCGACCTCATCGACGCCGGCACCACGGTCGACCGAAACCGCACCAACGGCCTGCCCCTGCACGGATTCGACTACAGCAAGAAGTCCATCTGGGCCGATCCCGAGACCGGCGCCTCGCCTCACGTCTGGGGCCGCGCTGTCGGCTGGTACATCATGGCTCTCGTCGACGTGATCGAGCTGTTCCCCAAGGACCATGACGGCTACGACCGTCTCGTCGGCTACCTCCAGTCCGTCGCCGATGCTGTTGTCGCCGCCCAGGACGAGAAGACCAAGGGCTGGTACCTCGTCATGGACCCTGGCCTGGAGAACGAGTGGGGCAACTACATCGAGAGCTCCGGCTCGGCCATGTTCGTCTACGGCCTGCTCAAGGGTCTCCGTCTCGGCCTCATCGACGGCAAGAAGTACCTCAACGCCGCGCTGTCTGGTTACGAACTCATGACGGAGACGTTCTCTGTGCCACGGGACTCTGACGGCGCGCTCGTCTGGGAGTGGACTGTGCAGACCGGCAGCTTGAGCTCGAACGGCACTTTCGAGGTGAGTAAAACACATCCCTGGTATCGAATCTGAAGATCTGAGCTAACAGCGCATTCGCAGTATTACGCAAGCCAGCCGCTGTTCGAGAATGATCTCAAGGGCGTCGCGCCGTTCCTCTTCTCCAGCTACGAGTTTGAGCTGCACCTGGAGGGCGGCTGCAAGGCTTGAACGCTTCATAGAGGAGGCCGGGCGTGAAAGTCATCGGGTCATAGAAGTAAAATAGATAATACAGAATGGGCTTGCCGTGCACAACCTGAACGATACCACTTCCATACGCTACTTGGGATGACCCCCTGGAACAGGGTGCATCTTTTGGATGGAATCGTGCTAGTTTTCCGCTGCTGCCACTCGTCATCACCACAGCGAGCATCCACTTCATGTTTTGGGACATAGATTGATTGTACTTTAGTCTTGAACTGCCTATTACTATGTCCCATCCTCCATAGAAAAAGATGTGTCATGCTAAATATTTACACGGCGAAGATTAAAAATATAGTCTAATCATCCCTTTTGGACAGGGCAAAGCCCAGACAGTATAGTCATGATAAGGAAACGAAGCGCCATGGTCAATCCGTTTACAGGAGGGCGAACATGACGGCGGCAGCGGCAGCGAGGACCTCAACACCAGAGCCGAGACGGCGGGCGGCGCCAACCTCAACAGGGCTGGAGGTGGTGGGAACGGGAGCCGGAGCGGTGGGAACGGCGTTACGGAGGGTGGTAACGGTGGGAGCAGGCAGCTCAGGCTTCTCGGGCTTCTCGGGCTTCTCAGGGTTAGAAGGAACGGAAGCGCCGTGCACAGGCTGCTCGGGAGCAGGCTGCCCCAGGCTGTCCGGGAGCAGGCTGCCCAGGCTGCCCGGGCGAGGGGGAGCGGTAGCGGGCGATCAGGCTGCCCGGGTTGCCCAGGAGCAGGCTGCCCAGGCTGTCCAGGAGCAGGGTGAGGGGGAACGGGAGCGGCGTGATCAGGCTGCCCGGGTTGCCCAGGAGCAGGCTGCCCAGGCTGTCCAGGAGCAGGAGCGGGAGCGGGAGCCGGAGCGGGAGCGGGAGCCGGAGCAGGGCGCCCAGGCTGCTGTGGCTGCTCAGGGCTCTGGGGCTGCTCAGGCTTCTGGGGCTGCTCGGCAGCAGGGCGGCCAGGGGTGGGAGTCGGGCCAGAGACCTCATCGGTGACGGGGCAGAGGGTGGTCGAGACAGCAATAGTCTCGGTAACGACGTGAAGGCCGTTGGGGCAGTTGACGACGTAGGGAGGGCACGAGGTGACGGTGCGGACCTGGGTGGTGTAGACGGTCGAGACGGTGTAGCTCTGAGGAGGCTGAGTGGTGACAGGGGTCTCGACGGTCGTCTCCGTCTTGTCAGTCTGAGTCTTCTCAGTGTCGCTGACGGGGCAGATGGTGGTGGTGACGGCGTAGGTCTCAGTGACGACGTGAGGGCCGTTGGGGCAGTTGGTGACGTGAGGGGCGCAGGAGGTGACGGTGCGGACCTGGGTGGTGTAGATGGTCGAGGTAATGTAGTCGGACGTGGAGACGGCCGTGGTCTTCTCCGTTGAAGTGGGAACGGGGTTGGTGCTGAAGACGGACGAGGTGGTGAAGTCGATTGTGTGGACGGTCGTGTTCAGTCCCCTTGTCGTGGTGGGAACGGGTTTGGTGCTGAAGACGGACGAGGTAGTGAAGTCGACCGTGTGGACGGTCGTGTTCAGCCCCCTGGTCGTGGTGGGAACGGGGTTGGTGGTCAAGACCGACGAGGTGGTGGGAACGGGGTTGGTGGTCAAGACGGACGAGGTGGTGAGCACGGTCGTACGAACGGTCGTCTGGGCGGTCGTCTGGACGGTCGTGTTCAGGCCCTTGGTCGTGGTGGGAACGGGGTTGGAGCTGGAGACGGACGTGGTGGGAACGGGGTTGGTGGTCAAGACGGACGTGGTGAGGACGGTCGTACGAACGGTCGTCTTGTCGGTCGACTGGGCGGTCGTCAGGACGGTCGTGTTCAGCCCCTTTGTAGTGGTGGGAACGGGGAAGCCCTTGGTGGTGGTAGACACCTTGCCAGTGCTCGAAGGGGCAGGGCGGCTCTCAGTGGAAGTCTCCGTGGTGGAAGGACCTGGGGCCTGGGTGTTGATGGTGGACTGGACAGGCTTGCTGGAAACCGGGTGAGAGGTCGCAGGTTGCGTGGATTCCTCCGAGGTGGAGTCGTCGCACTGGTCCACCTCGGTGCTGGAGGAGACTGGGGCCTCAGATGCCACTGTAGTCACAGCAGGCATGCTGGACACAGGGTGAGAGGAGGACGCAGAGTAGGAGGTCGCAGGTTGCGAGGATTCCACGTCAGTGTAATCGTCGTCGCATTGATCAGTCTCGGTGCTCGAGGGAGCGGGGGCCTCCGAGGTGGAGAGAACGGAAGAGGACGAGCTGGGCGTGGGGACGGCGGTGCTGCTAACGTGGGTGTTCCAGTAGGTGATACAGGAGCAGGCAGAAGACAGCGCAGTAGCATCGCAGTTGCTGAACGCCGTAGGAACGGCGGCGGCGGCGGTGGTGGTGCCGGCGAGCCACTGAGGGCAGAGCTTATCAGCCTCAGACTTAAAGCGAGTGTCGATGAGGTTGCGGTAGCAGTTGTCGTTCTCCTGTTGGGCTGGTCAGTACCTTGTGCTTGAAGGGGGGGTGGATGTGTCGTCTGATGTTTTTGACTCTTCGAAGACTTGGTGAAACGTACGCAGTAAGGGTACTTGTTGGCCTCAACAGTGGCCAGGGCAAGGGCGCCCAGACTCAGGAAGATACCACGCATCTTGTCTTGTTGTTCGGAAGTTTCTCGTGCCGTAAGCGAATGACTGGATCGAAGAAACGACAGTTGAGGAGGACAAACCAAGGAGAAGGAAGTCTTAACGAGCGACTCAAGGGTATTTAGATGGGGATGAAGAGGAAGCAAGAGCCTGCCGGTCAAAAGGTTTGGCTCATGAGCAGCGGTTCTTTAAAGGCGCGGCTCTCATGACTTTGGATGGAGCACACGCACGTACATGGTACATGGTACACCCACAACCTTCTCGATGGACACCCTCGTCGTACTCGGCGCCTCGTACCCTGGCTTGCCTGGCAGTGCCTCACGAGCTACCAAGTAGATGGCCCCTCCTCTCCCTCCATCCCGCAGTGGAGAGCGTGAGGACATCAACGGGTGTCCGGCAAGAGGCACGGCCTGCAGGTTTTTTTCCGACCCTGGACGAGGCCCTACGTGGAAAGGTAGGTTGAGGTACCATGTAATACGAGGCCCAGGAGCCACGTTTGCCCACCAGCACGGGACCTCCACTCTTGTGCTGTCGTTCACCAGCCCGCTTCAAAAGAGTACAGTTCGATCCGAGCATGGGGTGATGTGGGCTGCATAGGGCGAGCAGGGATGAGGCCAGGGCGCGAGATACATAGTACTGTACTGTACGACCACTGAACAGCGATATGTCATGCCCCGGGATACCCCCGTCGACCGAGCAAAGTAATCAAAGCCATTTGGGCTGAGCAAAGCCTAAACGCGCATCCAAATTGAGAAAGCGACCTCACTTCCGAGCTCCTATTCTCGGAGAGTTTGAGTAGCGATATGAGGGCAGACATGGTACATAGTAAGTTATCAGTGGCAGACGCGCTGATCACCTCGTGGCCAGGTTGATGGCGAACTGAGTAGCCGGTACGCTAGGCATTTTAGTCAGGGGTAGGGTTTGCTTTGCAGCCAACTTCCACCCACACTAGCGACTGTTGAAATCGTCATTGGGGCGGCGGGTGGTGGAACAAAGATACCGGTTATGCATCCTTGAGGGGGTCATTCGAGAAGGGGCATCAACCACAAAGACGGGGGGCACTGGAATGGAATCGAGATGGAAGAGGAGCTAACCCACCCGCCCATCGATCGACCGAGCTGTCTGAATGTGTTCAGGCTTTTCAGATCCATCTTCGGGATACATGATAATTATTCAATCCAATTCTAGTTCATCTATTTTACCTCACAACCATACGACCATCGCGCTCATAGCTCCATCATGCATACTGACTCTGACTCGGAGGGCTGGTGAGGATGCCTCGCCCAATCATCTTGACAACAGAGGGACCAACAGGGGTGATGCAGGTAGGAATACCTAAGAAAAGAACTAGGCTACGAGGACAGTCAGGCACATATGCACACAACCATCTGCGGGCGGGCTGCTCAAGCATACCCTGACGTCAATTTACCATGACCAGCCCCTCCAGACTGATCTTGGGTTTCGACTGTCAATCTGCCTGTGCTGCCTGGCAACCAAGCGCTGCAGACCAGAGAGACGCGGTGGCTGCGAAGATGCTGGGCGCTGGCCAACGTGGCTCTGTGTGCAACCAACAGGTGCCGCGACCCGGTCATTCGTATCCCAGCGCAAGTCCGCCCAGCCTCAGCCCTCCAGTTCGTCTTGCCGGCCCCGCCATGTCTGCTTCTTCGCCTTCGATTTCTACTTTCTTCTGGTGCGCGGCGGGTCACCGGCCTTCTCCCCTGGGCACTGAGGGCGGAGGACAGCTGTTGTGTAACTCGTCCTTTCGCCTGTGCTGCCTGTCCTGCTACGAATACGTACTCTCCTCCTGAGCCTGGTGCAGAAGGTGGTCCCTGAGCCTCCACGCGGCTGCCAAGACGCGCGCCGTTGTTCAGATGGCAGGCCAGGGTCGTAAGATGGCCGTAGAAGCCGAACAAAGAAAAGCCCACCAAGGCGAAGAATCTCCCGACTACGAATCCAACGTGCGACAGCCAACGTGCGCCTCGCCCCTGGTCTCTCCCCCTTGGCCCTTTTTCGGTTAGCTCGGCGGGACCCAAGGTTAAGGACCGTTTGTACCGACGGACGGAACTGCGCCGACCCCCGTTCCCCCCCCCCGCCCCCTGGTGGTTCTCATGGCTACCGTCTTCTCTTTTGACCCTCTATCTGCATACCCCCAGGGCTCTTGATTGGATGCTTTGATTTCTGGGTCTGGATCGTCTTGGGTGCTGGAGCATTGGCTTCAAGGTGGAGGCGCCTGCTACGCCAACGGGCGGCTCGCTTCACCTACCGTCGTATCACGATGAACACTGGCGCCTGGCCACGGGCACACCAGCCCTGATCCGGCGTCCACAGCACAAAACATCTCTCGGTCCTCAGAAACAGAAGAAGGGTCGCGACAAAAGGGGAGGGCGGAGGGGCCCGTGGTGAGACAGCGAGGCGAAGGAGGGGACAAGGAAAACAAAGAGATCCCAAATGTCCGGGCACTGGGCTCGATCCCAACATTCCACGCTATTTCAACGTCTATTCGAATAATGGAGCCAATTTCCTTAAGCTTCTCGTCAGAGGGGAAGGGTCGCATTCCAGGGCGGTACACGCCTACCCTACCGAGACATTCATTGAACACAAACGAAATGCATCCTACCTCACCTCATATGCTGCGGAGAGAATCGTACGGGAGTGAGCCCCGTCAGTCGGCGGGGCGCTTTGAGATCTCGCTCGGATACATCAAATTGACTGCCGGCACCTCTTGCACGCTATTGATTTTTGACCTTGTAGGGATGACCGTCGTCAGAGGAGGGTCGGGCGACACGACACGAAGCCGATGTCAGGGCAAATGACTGCACGATCCCGTGACCCTGGGCTTTCGGCCGCCGGACAGCCCGGCTATGCTTTTTTCGTCCTCGTATCGCGAGAGGGCCTGATTGCCGCTGCTATTCGTGACGACAGTCACCCCACGAAGTGTACATTCATGACTATCTCCCGCAGACCACTGCGCGCAGTAATAAATGCGTCAGGCCCCATTGGGCCCGCGCGTCTGATATCTTCGCTCCGCTCGAACGATACCCGCCCACACACACGAGCTGAGAAAGGTCTTCGCCACTGGCCTACTATTCTAGCTGCTCAAGCGGCTCTGCAAGGCGTGTGGAACGGTGTTGTGATCGGCGGACGTACTGGTGCCGAGGGCCCGGAGGATGCCCATTGTTGCGTCACTGATATGCCAAGGCGCCGAGACTATCGCGCTGCGTGGTTTTTCTCGATGCTGTTGTCCCGACGTCACCGTTTGTTACCTATGTATGGACGGGGAAAGCTTGACGAGGAAGCCCAAGACTCAAAATATTTCATTCCGAACGTTACGCTAGTACTTATCTCTCGTGTTGAGTCTATGCAAATGGAATCCAAGATTAGCTCCCCGCGATCTGTAGAAACCTTAGTAACTATAAGTCAAGCGATGTGATCGTTCGAGTGGTTGACGTTGTTCATTGGCGGCTCGTAATCGCGAACCAATAGCTGCAAGCTCCATAGTGCAGAGTCTGCGGTAGACCTGGCCTCGTGCAGCAGGGTGTTGATCTCTGGACGTCAACGAGCATGGGCAATCGCTGAATGCGCTGCTCCTAGCAGAGAAGAACGAGGCCTCGCCGTCTCAAAAGCTGTCTGAAAAGGATACTCCGGTGCAATTGATCAGTCTGTATTGTATGCAGTGGCAGATGAGGATAAACCGGTCTCAGGCCCCAGGTCGCCTTGCGGAACCCCAAGCCATTTCGTCAGGTCGCCGTTGCCTGGGAAATTCTATACGAGGTGCAGAACACGAACTGTGATGGTGTATTTCCCACGATGCGGACCTCCTGCACAGCGGGGAGAACTTTTCTTGGAAGCTGCAATATCGTAAGCGCCAACCAGAAATCACCATATGTGCTGCCACGTAAAATCCTTGTTTCCATGTTCTGACTAGAACATTCTGTGGCCACCTTCGGTAGCTGTCATTCCCACCTACTAACACGTTCAACGTCATGTCGCCCGTACGCCTTACATATACAGCTCGTGCTTAACGAACGGTGTGGCCTGGTGAGGGATTGTAGGAGAAGCCGAATCCTCGAGCCCAAATTTGGCTACTTCGGAACCCACAATGTCTGACCACGTTCGCAATGGCCATGGTTGCATGGAATTTACGAGCAGGGCGGCCTAAGTGATCTCAGTTGGCAGGCTTACGGCCACTGGGCCAGATAAAACCCACGTGGTCCTCAGAGGCAACGACGCGTATCGAGCAATGCAAATTACCATTTCATGTCATTGCTAAAGCTATGCCATAAAAACGTGATTGTCTTCGTCAGAAGTTTACCAAGCTGGATTCCGAGAGACGAGTTGGTGCAACAAGTAATTACATGGTTTCTGTCGGCACGAGCATCAAATTTGAAGTCGCAAGGAATGTCAATACGTCAACGAGATCCAATTTGTTTGCTATCATGATCATAAATGCATCGATCGCTATGTTCCACACACATCCAAATCCTCACTCACGACAAGTTATATTCATCAATCAGCTTGTCCGCACACGTGGCCCCGGTCAAATAGGCCACAACCTGCGTGTGGCAGTTTGGCAGAATCGGCACGACGCTCATGTCAGCGACGCGCAAGTTCTGAATGCCCACGAATCTGAAGTCATGGTCAACCACTGCGCCACTATCCTCCGGGGCTCCCATCTTTGCAGTGCCAGTCATATGCCAGCATGTAGATCCGGCCGCCTTCCAGTATTCAAGCAGCTCTTCATCCGAATCTCCTGACGGGCCGGCGATGATGCCGGTAGTGTTTCTTGCATAGCCCTCGTGCTTGCAAAGCCTGAGTGTTTCTCGCAGTGCTTCGATTGCAACCCGATGATCGAAGGGTGACTCCAGATACCTTGGATCGAGTCTGAGGGGAACGCTCGGGTCAGCTGACTGAAGTGTGACCTCGCCCTTGCTGTGCGCGTTCTGGTGAAAGACTAGGAAGTTGGAATAGTTGAGCCTGTCGGTTGAAAAGTCCGGGATGAACCAGTGGATGGGAAAGTGACTGATAATCTCGAAATGCGGGATCGTTGCCTTGTTCAGGTAGGCCTTTTCGTCGGCTGGGAGGGCGTTAAACTCCTTCGATTGCACCAGACCCTGGGACTTGAACCACCCGATGCCAAGTTCGCAAGCAAATTTTGACCAGCGTCCTGTGCCGCTCTCCTCCCACTGCTTGGTGGCCTCATCCATGGCGGTTTGGTCTCCATAGAAAGAAGCTCGATCGGTATCCCCTTCCACACGAGAGAATGCGAGAGGACAGAACATGTGATCGCGTAGATTTTGTCCGAGAGCTGGCACATCGGCCACGACAGGTATTTCGAAGCTCTGAAGCTGCTGCCGAGGACCAAGTCCGCTATGCATGAGTATCTTCGGGCTGTCCATGGCTCCAGCACACAGGATGACCTCACGAGTAGCGAAGTCTACCGGGCCAATTAATCATACATCACCAAGGTAAGCAAAAAGTGGATTCTAGATCGCACGTACACTTGATTCCGTTTGCTTCTACGCCAATGGCCTTGGTGCCATCAAGAATGAGCCGCTGCACAGGCCTCCCAGTAAGCACGTCGAGGTTTTCGAGGCCAGGCGTCAACATATCGTGAGCGATTGTGCGACGTCCGGCATGGCTGGAGTTAATCACAACTGATGCGCCGAGTGGATTGCCGGAATTGTGATCGGTATTCAGCGGGTAACCAGCATCCTCGAAGACGTCAAGCAAGGGGGTCAAATCCCTCTCCCACTCGGCTGCGTAGCCAACATGCAGTGGTCCGGAGGTACCATGATTCTCAGCCTTGTGTGAGACATACTTTGGGTCGATGCCGGTGGGGGGATTGCCATGGAACGACTCAAGGCGCTTGAAACGGGCCTGCATTGCTTGCCAACCGTATGCAT